ATATATATATATCTATATATATATATATCTATTTATTTATTTATTTATCTATATCTATTTATCTATTTATTTATTTATTTATCTATCCATCTTTCTTTCTTTTCTTTTGTTCTTTTGTTCTTTCTTTCTTTCTTTCTTTTTTTCTTTCTATCCATCCATCTTTCTATTTATTTGTATTGGATACTCGACCTCTGGAAGAAGCAATGCAGCGAGGGTAGCAGACTGGAGAGAGAACTCGTGAATCCGGGCTAGTCGGACAATGCATGCTTCCTTCTCCTCTGCTCACGCCTAAGCCCATATCGATACTCTGCTTCGACATGTCTGTTGGTACGTGTGTGTGCTTCTAGGTACGGGCTTGTGCCAGTGCGAGATGGTGATTGTCTGAGAGTTCGCGTGTCGGTGTGTTTTGTGTACATATGCTACATCGATTTACTCTCAGCTGTACATACTAATTTGGCTTCTGTCACATCACCAGAGAGGCTGGCTGTACTGGGGGCTGGGCGTAAACTTCTTGTGTGTATTCGTCTGGATGGGTACACACCAGTGTGTGTATGCGTGTGTATTTGTGTCCGCTCGGTGTGGAAGATAGAAGGGGAAGCAGGCGAAGAGATAAACCGACCTACTTACATACGCAATGCTGCATGGGCTTGGACTCCCGACAGCAGAGACAGGGATACAACTATACAGACAGACAGACAGACAGACATACACACAAACACACGGTGTTAGAGGTCAAAATTAAATCAGCCAAATTGCATCTGGAAAGAGGAGACAAATGAGCTTTAGGCGTAGCCTCAAACGGCAGTGGAATTAATTAAATAGAGCCCATAAGAGACAGAAAATCTGGACCAGTCGGGCAACAACTTGAGCTCTGCCTCGAGCCCACTCCACTGCCGGACACAACCTCGTCCGGCGAAGAAGCGACTGTCTGCGTCGTCAAGTTGATGTGTCCGAGAAAGCTGGTGAAGGTCGCCTTCCAGCGCCAGCATTCACACGAACCGGAACTGCGTTATTGGCTGGGCGCAGAAGAGGAAGTGAAAGCAACAACTTTGGCACCGGTTTGGGCAAAAAGTGGACTTGCTCCAAACTGTTGGTGGTGAAGTGGGGTGGCATAGTTTAGCTTTCCGCCATAAAGTGAGCAGACGGTCTCCCTCGCTTGTCGTTGTGGCTTGACTCAACGACAAGTTGAAAAGATATGAAACACAAGACGAACCACTGCTTGCTGAGCATAAAATTAGGCGATGAAATGAGTAGAGAAAAAAATTGAGAAAAATATTAAATATTTAACTATTTAACACAGGATGAGAACAGCTTTTGGGAAAGCAAAAATATATGAACTCC